AAAAAAAAAAAAAAAGCAACGTAGAGGATTATATCTTTGTACTTTTACAAAAAGGAAAATATATGGATATAGATTAAATCTTGCACTGGTACAAAGCAGCCCCCGATACCAACAGGGATACGATAGCCTCCAGAAATATGAGGGTACCTAGAACTTCTGGAGTATCTAAGATGGCTATAGGAACCCCACATCACAAACTAGCACAGAGCTAGAGGAGAAAAAGGTGTATGCATTCATTTTCTACTCTTTCCACAGCCAGGACTCAAGTCAAATTCTTAAATCCCAATTTTCAGTTAACCGACTTGATGGCACTTAACATCACCACAAGCCAGGTATTGTATTAGGTGCATCACCAACATAATCTTCTTTTATTAGTATCAATCAGAAAACTCCATGTGCCACACAGTGCCAGCTCCTATACATTACCGTGCATTAACTGTCTTTAATGACGACCTTGCCTGCTTTCCATATCCCTGCTGGGAGCAATGTCACCACTCAGCAGCCATGACCCTGGTCTATATATTGAGAGTAGCTGGAAGAGACTGAAGCCCTTGAGCTGTATCATAAGACTTTTCAGCTTGCTTATTCTCTTACCACAAGAGGCAGGTTCATCAGATCCATCACCACAGTCTTGGTCTTGATCACAATACCATCGAGAAGGGATGCATCGCCCAGATGCACACAGGAACTCGCTGTCACTGCACGTGTTAGCGACTGGAAGAGGAAAGAAGATAAAACCCCTGAGCAAAGCACAACTTGCTCCCATCAGTCTTAACCATCTCTCAATTGGAAAATAGTTGCCAAAAAAAGAGAAAATAGTTGGCAAGAAAATAAGAATGGGGGTGGGGCACAGAAAGAGAAGGGTATTTGGTTTGCCAAAGGAAGAAACCAACTGTAGTTTTTAGAAATACCAAAGCACTAATTATGGAAATTGGCTACACAATTTATATAAAATTAGACTTGATTATATTTTTTCTGCTATAACATTGTAATTTCAGATAATTTAAAGCACCTATATAACCATGGGAGTCCTGGTGTGGTGCTGTGGGTTAATACACTCGACTGCAAGGTCAGTGGTTCAAGCTTACCAGTCACTCCTCAGAAACCCTATACATAGCCACTATGAGTCAAAACTGACTTGATGGCACTTAACAACAACAACAACACCATGACCATGGCTGAGCTTACTCATACCCAACCTTTCAGCCATGTTAAACTATGTCTCTAGGGAGTTGGCAAAGTTTTCCTCTTACTTATCCTTGTGTTATAGAACATTTATTTGTATAAGTCGAAGAATCTACCTATGTTCTTTTCTTGAGTAACCTTAGGTAAATAAACCAGATCAAGTGCATTTCACAAGTTGCTATGTGGGGTGGGTCCAGACCAGAATCAAGTCTTGTAATTGTACTGGCCTGAAAACCTCTCTTGCTTTGGCCCATGATCATTGATGATTTTCCAGGACTCTGGAAAGTTCAGCAAATAACTCCAGTCTACCTGGTCTTATCTGATGTCTGTGTCCTAAATTATGCTTCCTCATTCTGCTTTATTAGAACTAATTTCTGTTCTTAGACTATAGCCATCTCTGAGGAATAATCATTACATTTTTTGGTTTCCTTAGGAGAGGACCAGGGTCCAGAATGTAACTACCTATGCCATTCATGTATAAGAATGTATATACCATTTGACATATATGATCAATGTTATTAAATTCTTAAATATCCATCTAATTACTTACACAAATAGTCTCAAAGTTACCAAGCTTAAGAAAGGCCCTTTAGGGAGTGATTGACTTTGCAGTCTAGGAGTGGAGGTCCCTGGGACCATCAAGGGAGAAGAG